TTCCTGGGTTATGGGGAGCCAGGGTGGATTGTGAACTGGGCAGTGCCATACTAGCACTCTGAGTCAACATGGAGCTGTGCTCTGATAGCAGCAAGGAAGCTAGCATGATCAGAGAGGGCAAGAGGGACATTGGGTCCTGGGAGCACAAGCGTGTATAAAGAACAACAGTGGAGGTGGCATTGTGGTGGATGTTCCACTGCCTTTTGAGTAATGGTAGTCCTATGCCCCTGGAAGATTGAATGTATCAGCTTCCCTCACAGTTAGGTGTGATCATGTGAGTTTTGACCAGTGATATGTGGGTGGTGGAGGAAAAGATTTGTGTAATGACAAGGCCATGGGTCCCAGAGGCTGTGCCCTGGGATAGGATGGACCTCCTTGAAAAGTGTTTTAAGACTCCACCAGAGCAACAGCTGAGCAACAAGACAGGCAGCAGCCAGGGTTGCTCTTACCCTGGGACTTTTTTTTTTTTTTTTTGGAACCAGGGATTGAACTCAGGTCCTTGTGCTGTGCAGCAGGCAGGGAAACCACTGAGCTAAATCCCCAGCCCCAACCCTGGGACTGTTTATGGCTGGGACTGTTATACACTTCCATTTTATTCAAGTCTCTATTATTTTAGGTGTCTGTTAGAGAAATCAAATCTATATCCTAGCTATCTGATAAAGTGGGCACATGGCAGGTCAAGCATTTCTTTCAAACCATACCTTGTTTTTCCTTCTTTCCCTTTCATCTCAGAAAGATTTAAGATAGCATATATCAAAGATATGTACAATGACTCTCATAAAACACAAAGCTCATTAGGTTTAATGGAGCTGCTCTCATTAAGCACTAGTTGTAGTGCTACACTTCTTGGAATCCACAGCAAAAAGGAAAGAAAATAAAGAAAATAAATTGGCCTTAGAACAATCCTGCCTGCCCACCACTCTTTTTGTTTGTTTTTTTGTTTGTGGGTTTTGTTTTATTTTTTTTCTTTTCTTTTTGAGACAGGGTCTCCCTATGTAGCTTAGGCTGGCCTTGAACTCACTATGTATTCCAGGCTGGCCTCACATTGATCCTCCTGCCTCAGCCTCCCAAGAACTAGGATTATAGGCATGTGCACCATGCCTGGTCTGCCTAGCACTCTTATTTCCTTTGGGCAAGAATGTTTGATATTAGAGGAAAAAGTATCTCCCAGTTTTCCTGGAAAAAAGAAATTCAGTAATTTCTCATTCGGGAACTGGAGTCATATATCGAAAATATTTTTCCTAAGTTTGACAGCAAATAGTGATTGTGCAAGGTGTGGTAGTGCATGCCTCTGATCCTAGCACTTGGGAAGTTGAGACAGGAGGATTGCTGAGTTTGAGGCCAGCCTGGGCTACATAGTGAGTAAAAGGCCAGCCTGAACTGCATAGCAAGATCCTGTCTCAAAAAAAAAAAAAAAAGATCATGTCTCAAGAGACAAAAAACAAGGGGGAGGGGCCGGGGATTTAGCTCAATGGTTGCCTCACAAGCGCAAGGTTCTGAGTTCGATTCCCAGTACCCCCACCCCACCCCACCCCCACAAAAGGGGGAAAGGGATAAAATAAAATAAAATTTAAACAAAACAAAACAAAAAATGCAAATGGAGATTGTTTGATAGAATGATTTTGTTGTTGTTGTTGGGATTTCTTATCACAACTTTGGAAGAAAGCTCAGAGCATATTGTTAAAACACAGTTCTGGGAGGGTGACTCTGCAAAGGATTCAACTAGGATGGTACCAAGCACTTTACATGAATTAACTCATTTGCTCCTGCCAACAACCCTATTTTTGGGGGGAGGGGACAGGATCTCATTATACAGTTCAGGCTGGACTTGAACTTACCATGTAGCCAAGGCTGGCCTCAACCTCAAAGTGATCTTCTTGTCTCAGCCTCCCAAGTGCTGGGATTATATGTGTGTGCCACTATACCGGGCATATTTCACATATTTTACAGATGAGGAAATTGGTATTCCAGAAGGGGAAGGGTCAGGTCAGATAGATAGCTGGTGATGAACCCAGATGTTAAACTTCAAAGTCCAATTCTACACATTTTCCTCCAGGCCTGCCAGCACTATCAATGACAAAATAACAGTATAGGCATGTAGGGGGGGATCATAGGGGGTGATCAGAGGGAAGGCACAAGAATCATTGCCGAAGAACAGGCCTGTGTTGCCCAATAAAAATCAGTGAGAGCTGGGGGTTTAGCTTAGTGGTTCCGCCGCCTGCCCCGTAAGTGCAAGGACCTGAGTTCGATCCCTAGTGCCAAAAAAAAAAAAAAATCAGTGAGATCTGTAAATATTGGAGGAACTTCGACCCTCCTAAAGGGTGCTACTCCTGATAGAGTAAGAAAGTAGGGGTAGGTACCATGAGGCAGCAGGGAGCCCTACATCTGGAGCCTGGAACATATGGGAAATAGCTTTGTCCTAACTTAGGAATGTTTCTCCAAATTGATTCCTAGAAAAGGAATTCTTGGATGAAAAAGCCTGGACATTAAGCCTTTAACAGAGGTCTTTAGCAAGTCATTTCCACTAGAAATCAGGAGTTACTCATACAAGCCTTTGGTATTACCAATATTTTAAACTTCAAATTTGAAAGGCTACTAATAAGCTCTTTTTTTGATTTGTATTTTTTTGTTACTAGTGAGATAGAAAATGTCCCAAGTTTATTGTGTTTCATTTGGTATCCTTTGACCATTTTGGGGGTTCTTAGTCTGTTATGAATTTTATGTGTTTATATAATAAAAGGATCCATCATCTGTTAAACATTTCCCCAGTCTGAAGATCTGAAGTTTGCCTTTCACTGATGGCTATGATTTTAGAATAGGGTAGGGTTTGACTTTTTTTTTCTTTTTCAGCAACAGAAAAAGTGATGTTTTCTTGGTTTATTTGTTTTGGGTACTGGGGATTGTTTTGGGTACGTTCTGCTTTCGAGGTGGGCATCCTGGCCCTTATTTTGTTTTTTAAAGATAGAGTCTTCTTACATTCCCTAGGTTGGCCTCCACCTCTTGGGTCAGCTGGTCCTCTAGCCTCAGCCTCCCAAGTACTGGGACAACAGGTACATGCCATCATGCCTGAATTTTTCAGAATTTCTTTTTTGTTTAGGCAAACACTACCAATGAGGTACATCTCCAGCCATAAATAATTTTTCCTTATGTTTTATTTATTTATTTATTTTGGTACCAGGGATCAAACTCAGGACCTTGCACTTGCAAGGCAGGTGGCGGCACCACTGAGCTAAATCCCCGGCCCTTCCTTGTGTTTTATAAATAAACCTTTCTTTTTTTTGTCTATGTGATTTCTTCCGTTTTCTCTAATTTTATAAAACTACTCCTCCAATGGCTTATTTTCCATCAAGAATTGTAGCTACCTCAATTATTTTACCATCTTTTTGAGAACCAAGGAGAGGACAAGATCATCCCCTTTTATTATTTGGAAGTAGGGGCTGCAAGAGGACCTGTAACTATGTGTGTGCATCCGACATACTCTGGATTTGCGAAACAGTGTTAAATTAACCCTGGTCTTCTCTGAGTGGGATGTGTTGGATGGATGTGTTGTGGCACAGGTGGCAAACACCTGTGATCTCAGAACTGAGGAAGCTCAGGCAGGAAGATCTTGAGTTCAAGGCCAACCTGGACTACACATTGAAGCCCCTTCAAACAAATAACAAATTATGTAATTTCCAACAGCAATGACGTTACTTGTTTTATAGAAATATATATATATTTTTTGGTACTGGGATCAAACTCGGGTCCTTGCACTTTCGCAGCAGGGAGTGAAACCACTGAGCTAAATACCCGGCCCTCATAGAAATATTTTTAAGAGAAGACAGAATGTGTTCTGAAAAAAGAGAGAGGGCCAGGGATTTAGCTCAGTGGCCTGTGCCTGCCTGGCAAGTGCAAGGTCCTGAGTTCGATTCCTGGTACTGAAAAATATATATCAATAATAAAAAAGAGGGCCAGGGATTTAGCTCAGTGGCACCGTGCCTGCCTTGCAAGTGCAAGGTCCTGAGTTCAAGCCCTGGTACCACAATAAATAAATAAATAAATAAATAAATAAATAAATAAATAAATAAGAAAGAGAGGAAGTATAAGTGTCCTCAGAAAAGTTAAAAGTAGGGTCGGGGATTTAGCTCAGTGGTTTCACTGCCTGCTGCATAAGCGTAAGGACCCAAGTTCAATCCCTGGCACCAAAAAAAAAAAAAAACTTCATTGGGCCGGGGATTTAGTTCAGCATTTTCACCGCCTGCTGCGCAAGCACAAGGACCAGAGTTCGATCCCCGGTACCAAAAAAAAAAAAGGAAAAGTTAGAAGCAGGCAAGATGTAAAACAAGAGGATAACAGCTATACAAGTCCCCTGCAGAAAGAGGCCCCAGTGTCACCCAAGGACATTGTCACAGGTAAACAGAAATCTGTGATGCAGAACCCCAGCCCAGTGTGGGTGCTTTAGGACTCAGCCCTGGGCAGCAGTGTTTCCCATGGGCGGGGGGTGGGGTGGGGGGTGTCTAATATACTGAGATCTGTGAGAGGGAAACAACTCCATGGTCCCCTTTCTTGGAGCCCCAGTATACACTGAATCTAGCTCTCATGTTTTGGACTGTGTTCTAAGCACTTCACATCTGTTACCTCATAAATTCTCTAGAGAATCCTGAGGCACTGATATCCCCGTATTCCGGGTAAAGAAACCAGGCATTAGTAAAGCATGAGTCAGATCAGACTCAGAGCCCTTGGAGGAACCTCAGCAGCTTTCCCACTCCTCTGTGAAGAGGCAGAATAAACTGACCTCCCACGACTACGAGGGAGGGAGGCCCTAAGCACCATGGTCTCTTGCTCCCTTTGGGAAGTGCAGGAGTCCAGGAGGAGAACGCTGAGGGGGTGGTGGAGGCAATGCCACCTCCAGTTCCTCAATCCCTTCCTCGTGGCCTGCACAGAACTTATTCCCGAGGACTCCGAGGGCCGCGTGCATGAACTGACCTTGCCCAGGCCCTGGAACTGGTCCAGTCACGTGGCTCGTCGGTCCTCTTTGGCCTCTTTCCTCGGGGATCCAGATTTAACTCCCCCTCCCCTCTCGCCTTCCCTCTGGGTGCCACACCCCCGCGGGGGACAGGCTTGGGTCGGAGTCTCCGCGGACCCAGGCCTCAGTTGACCACTGGCCCTCGACTTCCCTCACTGCCTGGTCTGGCCCTGTCCATTTCCTGCACCCGTTACCCACCAGTCTGGGCCTCTCTAAGCGCCCAATCTCTGGGCCCGGGAGAGTGGGGAGGAGGAGGACAGCAAGCTCCCAGGAACAGTGTGAGTCTCAGAACTGCGGAGGCGACAGGAGAAACTGGCCGGCCTCTGGGATCCCAGATGCGAGTTCGAATTCTGCCTCTCTTCTGACCAGCTGCTGACCTCCAAGCCTTCACCTCCCGAGAACTCAACTGTCCGCACTGAAGAGGGTCCTGCAGAGCCTGCGGCAGGACAGCATTCAGCTGGGGGCCGCCCCGACGCGCCCTGCCCACCCAGCCCAGACTCCTCCCCGCTGACATCAGAGAGCGGCGCAGAGCCTGGAGTCCCGAGCAGGAGGAGGCGGAGGAGGAGGCGGCGGCGGCGGCAGTCCCCCCAGCAGCTCGGCCTCGCTCAGCCCTGCGAGGGCACTGCAGGTTCGCAGGCCTGGGGCTGGGTGGCGGGCACAGATACCCTGGGGCCGGGGCCGGGGCTAGGCCCTTCCCTCCACCCACCCAGACGGCTCCGCAGGTACGGGCGGGGGGAGCTGCCCCGGGGTCCTGCAGGGCCAGGGTCTGGGAATCTGGGGTGCCAGCTGTTCTGGTCTCAGCACAGGCATGGGGGCCGGGTGCAGGCTGCGATCCCCAAAGGGACCCATGGGGATGCGGGTGGTGGTGGGGGAAGGGTGTCGGTTGTGTACTGAGTGTGTTTGAAGTTGGGTAAGAAGCTGAGATTTGGTTTGGAGGACAGGAGGAGTTTCTAGTTGTGAGAGAGAGGAGCTGGGGGCTGGAAGGTGCGCATGAAGCCGATATCTGGTATACAGCGATGAGCACCTATCATTTTGTCCAGGCATGTGTTGATGTGTGTTTTGTCTTTTTTCATTTTTTGAGACAAAGTCTTAAGCCTGGCCTCAAATTTGTGATCCTATTGCCTTGGCCTCGGCTCCTGGCTGGGATGTATGCTTTGGAGTGTAAGAGTCTGAATGAGGATGACAGGTGTGGTGGCTCATGCCTGTAATCCCAGCACTTAAGAGGCTGAGGCAGGAGGATTTCCGAGAATTTGGGGCCAGCCTGGGCTACATAGTGAGCTCAAGGCCAGCCCGAACAACATAGCCAGACCTTGTCTTTAAAAAAAAGTCCGAATGAGGGACACTGGCTGGCAGGCAGGTGTCAGGGTTAGGGTATCTGAGGAGTGTGTGGACATGTGTGTGGACATCTGGGTGTGCACATAAAAGCAGATGATTCGGTGTCTGGGTACAAAACAGGTCCTGGAGACAGGTGTCTGTGTTTGGGGTGTGGACAGGCTTAGCGTGGCTTTCTGGTGCAGGATGTATGTAGAAATGCCAGGGGCGTATTTGCTGGGGCTCTTGGTGGGCTTAAGACTGCTGCCAGAGGTTGTCAAAAAGTTTCTTTTCTCAAGTTTGTGCCCCTGGAGCAGAGTCCCATTGAAGGAGGACTCTCACTCTGGACCCCTCCAGGCAGAGGACAGAGAAAGATAGACTCCCTGAGGCCACACAGCATGCTGGGCCTTGTTTTGCTTTGCCTTTTGTGGCCCTGCATGGGACTGAGAGGATGTGTTGTCCGAATGGGCCCCAGTCTAGCTTCATGCTGGAAAGACCAGCTGAGGACAGCTCCGTGGCCTCTGCCCTCAGCAAGCTTGGCTGGGATCCCAGCTGGTATCATTTGGGCACCTGTGGTGTCACTCAGGCCCTGCCCACCTCTGACCTCAGTCTCCCCATTCCCCATCTGATAAATAGGGAGAGAAATTTCTCCTACAAAATGAGCAAAGGCCTCAGAGCAGGGAAGTCCAGGCAGGATCGGGGTGAGATGAAGGGAGGAGGGAAGACTGGGTGGGACCATTTCTCAGCTTCCAGGACCCAGAGGGGGAGTCTAGAGGAAGAGACCTAGGGAGCTCCAGCTGTGGCTGTTGTTGCCATGGCAGCAGTGAGAAGGAGCTATTTTAAAACGTGGCTGAGATACTGCTGGAAGTCCAGACTGCTGGAAACCTGATTTCTGAGAGGCCAGGGTAGGGAGGAGGAGGGGGAGAGGAGACACCCCAGCAGTTCCCAGGATGAGGCTGGGACCTTATTGGTCCCAGGCACATGGCATCCTCTAGGGACTTGTACCCCTACATGCTGCTCTGGGGTGTTATCTGCTGTCCTCTCAGAGGTCAGGGTTTCCCTGGCTGTCTGGATTTGGAGAGGGAAAAACTGGGATGCAAATGTGAATAAAGAAACACATGACTTCATTGAGTAAAAAATTATGTTGCCATCATGAAAATTTTTTCTCTAGGCATAAGAATTTGCAGAAGGAATATTCTTGAATGAGCACATGACTGGTGAATGAATGACTATTAAATGATTTTGTCAAATGAATGGATCAAGGGGTGGGTAGGTACAGGTTGCAAAAATGAACAGGGCATACAGTAAATTCCCAGAGAGAAGGCTGGGCCTAGCTGAATTTCCTCCCTCCATTTCCCTCCAGGAGCCCTGGCTGTGGCCAGGGAGCAGTGGGCCATGCTGGGGGCCGTGGAAGGCCCCAGCTGGAAGCAGGCAGAGGACATTAGGGACATTTATGACTTCCGAGATGTTCTGGGCACGTGAGTCTCAGGGTGGGTGGGATGGGGCTCTGTATCTGGTGGAATTGGGAAAGGCCTCCCTCCGGGCCTGGAGAGCTGGGGAAGGCTGGGTCTGGGTGGTGCTTCCTCTGGTCAGTTGATCAACACTTCCTGTTTCCTACAGCCGAGGCCTATGTTGGCCTTTCCACAGCCCAGACTAGCCGCATCTTTTCATTTCTGGCTGGCAGTGGTTGGGACAGGGGCTCCTTTTGAACGGTCAAATGTTCCTAATGAAGAGAAGGAAGTAGCAGGGGATGAAGGGCCACTTGTCTAGCTCGTTGGTAAAAGCTGGGTTTCCTGGCCTAGGTTTGGAAACTAAGGCAGGACATAGCTCTGTCCTTGGTGCTGGGGACCCAGAGACAACTAATACCTGGTCTCTGCCCATCAAGTTGACCCTAGATGCACAGGGAAGCAGAACCACAGAAAATGATGAGTGCGTGTGGTACTCCAGCTGAGCTTGGGAATGAGAGCCATGCAGAGCCCAGAAACAGCTGTGGCTTCTGCCTAGAGAAGTGGGCATTAGAACTGGGGACTAAAGGACGAGGAGGCGTACATGTTCAGAGAGGAAGAGGGGCATTCAGGCAGAAGGGAAAGTATAATAAGTCCCCAATTTACGAACAAGTTCCATTCTGGGAAACTGTTCATAAGTCAGATTTGTTCCTAAGCTGACAGTCTTACACAGTACACCTGTAAAAGTTCGTAGGTCAGGGACTTACTGTTTAAGTGAAGGGTCAGAGGTGGCATGTGCAGAAAGGTAAAAAGCCTGATACAGCTTAAAATCAGAGGCTGGAGGAGGAGAGGACAAGGCTGGAGATGAAGCGGGACAGAGTGTGAAAGCATGCAGGGTTTTGAAAGCCAGACTAAGAAGGCTGCATTTTATCCCATGGGTCACAGGAAGCCTTTTTTTTTTTTTTTTTTGAGACAGGGTCTTGATATGTAGCCCAGGCTGGCCTTAAACTTCCAGCAATCTTCCTGCCTCAGCCTCCCTCATGCTGTGACTATGTGCAGCACCACCCCCTGCTATCAGAAGCCATTTAAGACTTAGGGCAGGTCTGCAGTTCCAGATTATCACTGTGGCCAGTGTGGAGGGTAGATTGGAGAGGGCTGAGGTGACTGCACTTATCCCTAATCTCTGATAATCAAACTGTCACCACATGGAATGCTTTTATCACATTTTTTTTTTTTTGGTACCAGGGACCTTGCGCTTGCAAGGCAGGTGCTAGAACCACCGAGCTAAATCCCCGGCCCTCACATTTTGTGTGTGTGTGTGTGTGTGTGTGTGGTGGAAACTGAACCCAGGTCCTCACACATGCTAAGCAAGCACTCTACTACTAAGATTTTTTTTTTGGTACCGGGGATTGAACTCAAGACCTTGTGCTTGCAAGGCAGGCAGTGGAACCACTGAGCTAAATCCCCAGCCCCTAAAATTTTTATTACTAGTTTTTGGTACTGGGGATCAAACTTGGGTTCTTCCACTTGGGAGGCAGATGGCAGAACCACTGAGCTAAATACCCGGCCCATATATTTTAAAATTTTGAGCCCAAGTCTTGCTAAATTGCCCAGGCTGGCCTTGAACTCGCAGCCCTTCTTGCCTCAGCCTCCCTGGTAGCTGAGATTACAGGGATAAACCTTAACCTGGCTTATTTATGACTTCATATCCCCCAGGGAAAGCAAACAGATGTAGAAAGAAAAGCCAAGTGAATTCTCCTTAATCAATGAAACTTAGTGTAAATGAAATATTTGCTGCTTTCTAGAAACCTGGTTTAAACTCCTTCCTAAACTTCAGCGAACATACTAACCACTTGAGGACCTTGGTAAAATGTAGATTTTGATTTAGGAAGTCTAGTGTGCGAACCGAGATTCTACATTTCTAAGAAGTTCCCAGATGATGATGATGGTTCTTCAGAGTTCTAAAAGATATTAAATTAGCTGTGACCCAGATTGGCTTTAGCAGGAAAAGGATGAATCAACCACACATATGATCTAAAAGCTCTGGGTAGATGTTAGGCCTGGTTGGACTCAGGGCCCACATGATGGCAAGAAATGGTCTTCAGCTATTTTCAGGTCTCATTTCCTTTGTGTTGGCTCCAGTCTCAAGTAGGCTTTCCCACAGTGGTGACAAAAATGACTACCATCTGCTTCAAGCTTACATCCTACAACTTCACAAAAGAGGGCACCGCATTCTCACAGTGCCAGTAGCTGGGCTTGTGTCACATGACCAGTGATCATGGCCAGGGAACAGACTGTGTTTGGTCAGCCTGGGTCACATGGCCACGTCTGGAGCAAGGGTTAGATAAGTGCTTAGAGGAGGCTCATCACACTTCCTAGTCCAGAGGTATTAACAGAATCCACAGGGGTGGAGCAGCATTTGAGGGAGGCTGAGGGGTGCTGGACTCAGTCCTCACCTCCTGAACCCTCTTCCCTGAAGGGGGGCCTTCTCAGAGGTTATCCTGGCAGAAGATAAGAGGACTCAGAAGCTTGTGGCCATCAAATGCATTGCCAAGAAGGCCTTGGAGGGCAAAGAAGGCAGCATGGAGAATGAGATCGCTGTCCTACACAAGTGCGTGAGCCACAGCAAGTCTGGCCCCAGATGGCCCTTGCTTGACCCCTCCTACCCTTCCCCTTCCCCTGCTTTGTACAAACCATTTAAACTTTCTGAGCCTCAAAGTCTCATTTATAAAATAGGGGTAAGACCTTTCACTTGGCAGGAGTATGGGGGAATAATTAGAGGTCCTTTATTTTAAGTGGCTGGCATAACAGCTAACAAGGCAGATTCAACTTATGTGCCAGGATTTATTTCCAGAAGGTTAATCTGCTCAGTCAGGTCCCAAGGCCAGCCCTCAGTCATTGCTTGAACCCACTTACCTCAGCTACTGCCATCTCTAGATTGACTTCAAGTTCCACCCACATGTTCAAGCTGCTCCGCAGGCTGAAAGCTGTGAGTCTACTGACCCTGCTGACCTTGACTGCAACCTCTTGATTACACTGGAAAGCGTGTAGAGAACCTTCACTTCAGGTCTCTCCCCTGAGCTTCCCAACTACCCTGGGCAGGAGAGAAATGATAATTTCTACTATCAGGAAGTGAAACTGGGAGAATGAGGCCCAGAGAGGGCCAGAGACTGGCCCAGAGTCACACAGGACCTGTGGCCGAGCCATGTCTCCCTCCCCAAGATCAATCACCATCACTGGTCCATCCATTGAGTATTTACTGTATGCTAGGGTAGCCCCCCCCAACCTGTGTGACCCCGCGCAACCCTCACCCCTGCTCTGTGAAGGAAGTCCTGTCACTGGCTGCATTTTATAGATGACAAAACTCAGCAAAGCTTACATTCAGCTCACCAAGCGCTCCTGCACACTTACTCCACACACACACTGTGGGAACAGTGGTGACAGTCTCTGGATGTGAAGCTGACCTTTGGTGGGGGAGGCTGATGAGTGTGTAACACAGAAGGCTTTAGGAGCCCCCTGTCCACCAGGGCTATGACATGAAAAGGCCTGCACATGTAGCATGTTATAGAAGTTTTGCTGCTTTATAGGAGTTTGCTGCTTTACTCTTTGCTTTCCAAGAAATGATAATAAATTGTGTTAATCCGCTTTTCCTGGTGGAGCTGGATCCTTGGTTTGTCCTGCCAGGTGTGCAGGCATTGGGGCGGTGGCTGATCTGTCCTTCTTTCTCCTTTCAGGATCAAGCACCCCAACATTGTAGCCCTGGATGACATCTATGAGAGTGGCTGCCACCTCTACCTTATCATGCAGCTGTGAGTGATGCTGCCACTCCTCTCCCACCTTCCCTGCTGCCTCCACTCCCTCAGCCACATGTCTGTCCCCCGCTGCAGGGTGTCAGGTGGGGAGCTGTTCGACCGCATTGTGGAAAAAGGCTTCTACACAGAGCGGGATGCCAGCCGCCTCATCTTCCAGGTGCTGGACGCTGTCAAGTACCTGCATGACCTGGGCATCGTACACAGGGATCTCAAGGTGGGGCTTTCAGGATACAGTGTGCTGGGGCACCCGGGGTAGGGCCTCTACAAACCCCTCACTGCTGCCTTGGGGACCTCTCACCCACCCACCCCAGCCATGGCTTTTCACCTGCAAAATGTACCTTGTGATCCTAAACCGTTTCTTCCCACTTCAGATCAGACACTGGCAGGGAATTGTACTGTCATTTTATCTGGGTAATGTGCTGTATCCTTTTCTGATCATAAAAGTCCCACTTGCCCTCTGTAGAGAACTTGGTCAGGACAGCAAAACATAAGGGAGAAGGCCTGAGATCTGCTCCTTAGACACAGTGATGGGGCACATACATGGCAGTCTCAGCCTGGTCCAGAAGGTGACCAGCTCTGGGTTTGAACCCTGGCCCTGCTCCTCCCTAGCTGACTGGAGCAAGTCACTTTGCCTCTCCAGCCACAGCTGTCCTCACCTGTAAAATGGGCTTGTTCAGACTGGCTGGCGGGGAATGTGGTGAGGATGAAGCCAATCAGCCACTCACCAGCGCTGCCACACAGAGATATTCAAAAGGGTTCCTCTAGGGTTACAGAAAACTTCCTCCCACCTCCCCTTGGCCCCTGTCCTGAGAACTTCCTTGAGTTCCTTCTGCCTTCAGCCGAGATGGAAGCCGTCTGGCTGCCTAGTGGCTGTTACCCCTGCAAGCTTTGGGAGCAGAAGGCTCTGGGGCCCTGGCCAGCCCTGTTACTTCCCTTGCCTACCCTCTTCCCAGCCAGAGAATCTGCTTTACTACAGCCTGGATGAAGACTCAAAGATCATGATTTCTGACTTTGGCCTCTCTAAGATGGAAGATCCAAGCAGTGTGCTCTCCACAGCCTGTGGGACCCCAGGTTACGTGGGTGCGGAGTGCCCTGGGCTAAGGCTATGGGCAGGGGAGGAACCAGGAGCTTCAGGGTGGAAATTTACCACCACCCTGTCCCCTTTCCTCCATAGCCCCTGAGGTCCTGGCTCAGAAACCCTACAGCAAGGCTGTGGACTGCTGGTCCATTGGGGTCATTGCCTACATCCTGTAAGTGGGGGCATGGGCACTGTAGGCTGTGGCTCCACAGTTTCCTCCCCATGTCCCTCTCTTCCTCCATCTCTTCCCCTTCCATCCATAGTTATATCTGCCTATTAATTACTAATGTCACTTCATTCAATAGATACTATGTTTCAGGCGCTGTGCCAAGCACTGAGGACTTAGTAGAGAACGAGCCAGACCATGTGCCTGCCCTGAGGAGCTGACACTGTAGTAGGGAAGAGAGAAAATTAAAAAGTAGATAGATCTATAAAGTACTGTCAACTGGTAAAAAAAAATGCTGTGAAGAAAAATGAAGTAGGAGTAGGGAGAAGGGGATGGATGCCATTTCAGATAAGGTTAGGAAGGGCTCTCTGTGGAGGTGACATTTGAGTGGCACCTTGAATGAAGTGAATAGTCACACATTTGAAGTTTGGGGGAAGAAAGGTTTAGGCAGACGGAGGAGCAAGTGCAGAGGCCCCCAAGGATGGCAAAGTGGTGGCAATATCAAGGAACAAAAAGACCAGGGTAAGCCGTGCATGGTGGCATCTGCCTGTAATCACAGCAGAATCACAAATGCAAGCCCAACCTGAGCAATTAAGCAACTTAGACTCTTTTCCTAAAAAAAAAAAAAAAAAGAAAAAGAAAAGAAAAAGAAAAGAAAAAAAAACTACAAAAAGGACTGAGGATGTAGCTCAGTGCAAAGTCCCTGGATTAAATCCCCAGTATGGGGGGTGGGTAGCCAGTGTAGTTGGACAGGCAGGGGCAGCTTCCGCAAAGGAGGAACTTCTTCCTGTGGGTCCAGCCTCACTCCTGGGACTGCCCGAGCTCCAGCCTAGAGCCCAGGGTGCTGCTGAAGTGGAAATGAGGACCAGTTTCTCCTGCCCAGGCTCTGCGGTTACCCCCCCTTCTATGACGAGAATGATGCCAAACTCTTTGAACAGATTTTGAAGGCCGAGTACGAGTTTGACTCTCCTTACTGGGACGACATCTCTGACTCTGGTATTTTGGGATTTGCCTTCTTCTCTTGGGCCCTGTTTGTGGTGCCTTCCTTATCTGCTCTGGTATCTCCCCACTGCCCTCCTTCTGTCTGATTCCCCAGCCCCAGACAGTGAGCTCAGATCAGACTCCCATCTGCGTGGCCCCAGTCTGAGAAGTGTGTAGGTATTCAGTCAGTCTTCAAACATAGTATTTTTGAAAATATGCCCCCTACTGACTTCCTAATGCCCAAAACACCACCATGAACATTTTCATCCCTCCATTTGTGTCCCCTACTCAGAGGCAATCCTGTGAAGGCATCAAGTGTAAATACATTGAGTAGTCTTCTTGAATGTGCTTAAGAGGGAAAAGAGAAGGTTGCAAGGCAGGGTGGGCATGGGGGCCATTGAGAGAGGATGGGGTGCTGCATGGACAGATCTGGCCTCTGTCTTGCTATGTGTAGTGAGTACTGTCCTGTGGGAGTAGGTGCTATTCTGGGGGTGTGCACAAGCACCACCATGCTGTGTGTCCTTGCTTTTATCTTGGGGGTTTAGCCAAAGATTTCATCCGGCACTTGATGGAGAAGGATCCAGAGAAGAGGTTCACCTGTGAGCAGGCCTTGCAGCACCCATGGTGAGAGCCCCTGAATGCTGTGGGCTGGGGAGTGGCCTGGCCCCAGGCCAGCCTCTGCCCTCACAGGCGCCCTGCACAAACTCCTCAGGATAGCAGGAGATACGGCTCTCGATAAGAACATCCACCAGTCCGTGAGTGAACAAATCAAGAAGAACTTTGCCAAGAGCAAGTGGAAGGTGAGCTGTGGCTTTAGTCCTGGGTCCCAGCCTCCATAGGGCTTCTCCTCGCCCCCATCCAGGCTCAGCCTACAGCACCCAGCACCAAGCTGGGCAGAAGTAAATAGTCAGGGATGCTTTCTGAAGGACCTGACTTGTTCATTCATTCATTCATTCATTGCCCCTTGACACTCAATTCCAGAGTGTCCCTGACCTTCAAGTCTAAATGGAGAAGACTGTTCTTCAGGAGGCATCTGATTCAGCCTATGGGACAGACCTGTCATCTGAGTAGGAATTAGGCAGAGGGAACAGGAGTGCAAAGTTCAAGGGCAAGCGACAGTGTGGTCACTCAGGAAGTGCTGGTGATAAGTCTGGCTGGGTAGAGGCGCAAGGACACTGAGCAGCAGCAGCCCAGGCTGGAGAAGCCAGGTCAGGCCAGGTGGCTCAGGGCCTCGAAAGCCACAGTACAGCCCCAAGTTGATGTGGAGGGTGCTGAGGAGTCCCTAAAAGGATATAAAGCAGGAATTCGCCCTTCAGAAGGGGCTTTCAGGAATGCAGAGACTGGCACAGGGTGAAACGCGGGACACCCCATGAGGGCTGTGGCAGAGACGCAGGCAGGAGATGCTGAAGGCCTGAGCCAAGGCAGTGGAACAGGATAGACAACGGGCTGAGAACGGGAGTCCTTTAGAAGCAGAATCACAAGAAGTGATGGCGGAATGGATGCTGAGGGAGTAGAGACATTGATGGCTGGACCAACCTGATTGGGGCAGAGTGGGCAGTAGGACCATCACTTGGGATGGTTTTCCAAGGGGCAGAAACATGTCTGGAGGGGATGACTTTAGTTTTGGATATGGTGAATTTGACCTCGCAGGCATAAACGGAATAGAAAATGATACACACATGCTCACACATACACGCAGGTAAGTATTCAACATTTCTGCAGCTAAGTTTCCTCCTTTGAAATTAATAGTAGTAGTGCTTAGCTCAGAGTTTTGTGAGGATTAAATGAATTGCCATGCAAAGTGCTTAGTACAGTGCCTGACACATAATGCTGTGCAGTGTTTGCTATCACCTATGAATATGAATTGTAGTTGTGTCTGTATATGTACATATTATACATATCTGTGTGTGGGTATGTAAGTATGTGACTGAATTTAACTTAACAGAGCCTTGTAGAGGTTTTGGGGGTTTTAGAGGTGTCACTACATAACCCCCGAATAAAAGGAATGAAAGATAAAGAGAACAGAACCATGCTCCCCGTCCCTTTGAGCTTCCCCTTTCTCAGAAGCCCTTCTCCCCTGTCCCCACAGCAAGCCTTCAATGCCACAGCTGTGGTGCGGCACATGCGGAAGCTGCAGCTGGGCACCAGCCAGGAGGGGCAGGGGCAGCCAGTGAGCCCCGGGGAGCTGCTGACGCCCACAGCTGGGGGTGAGAACTGGGTTCTGTGGAGGGTGGTCTGTGAAGACACCCAGGCAAGAGAGGTGGGCAGCCTGCAGCCAGCTCTGTTCTCTCTCTGCTGCAGGGCCGGTGGCTGGCTACTGCTGTCGAGACTGCTGTGTGGAGCCAGGCCCAGAGCTGTTGCCCACGCTACCACCCCAGCTCTAGGCCCTGGTCTAGTGTCAGGGTTTCCTTCCTGGGGGAGGCTTGGGGGCAGCTTGCTCCCTTCCCATCCCTCCTTGAACTGGGGAGCTACCCTGGCCCATACCCACCCACCCCCAACTCCTCACCGCATTTTCCATACAAATGTTTCTATTTTATTGTCCCTTCTTGTAATAAAGAGAAGATAAAACCACAGATAGTTCTGCCTCCCCAGAAACTCCCCACCCCACCTTGTGCAAACCCACTGGTTGATTTGGAGGTGCCTGGCCCCTGAGGTAATTGTAGGGATCCTCCCAATATAAGTGGGGCTGGGGAGAGGAGTAGTGGGTGACAGGAAGTTATTTAGGGAGTCTCTTTGTTCAGGGCCCCTCCTATACTTCTGGCTCTGTGGACTGTTTTCTGAGCTTTGCTGGTGGCTCTGGAGCATGGTGGGGCTGGCGTAGGTCAGCACAGAACAGCACCTGTGGGAGGGGCATAAGGAGTCTGTAGGGAGGAGGGTGTACTGGGGTCAGGGTTGTTTGAGCTGGTGACAGTATGGGGAGGTGGAAGAGGCCACAAGGCTAGGCTGGGGGAGGCTGGAGAGTCCCTTAGGCTCACTGGGACAGTGGTGGGAGTGGGAGAGTCCATAGGTCAGGGCTGGAGAAGAACCTTATGGGGTCTGGGCTCAAGACCAGGGGAAACCTGGGTGCACTCACTGCTTGGGCCCAGCCAGCATAAGGTCCCCACAGGCATCGGAAGAAGTTTCCTAAATCAGAAGCAAGGAGGCTACATTAATCAGCCCCACTGCACCCCATCCACGTCTCTGTCCAGTGCCTAGCATCCCCCTCCTCACCCAGTTCCTTGTTGGCTTGGGGACTTGGGCCTTTGGCCCGAGACGTGCTGGGGTGCCAGCTGTAGTCACGCTTCGCGATCTGCCACACGTGGATGTCCACTGGCACAGCCTGTGGTTTGTCTAGGGCCATTAGGCAGATGCAGTCAGCCACCTTGAAGAGAAGAGTGGGCATTGTGAGGAGATGGCAGGACCCAAAGCCAGCCATTCCTTCTTTACTCTGAGGTTACTACTGGTCTGTTCTCAAGCAATATACATCGCCTATTAATTACTCTAAAGATCCTCTAAGAAGAGCTGTTACTGAACGTGCCCCAATGTAGGCCCAGGTCTCATAATCTGGGGGAGCAGACGAGAAAACTGAGGCCCTGAAATGTGAAGTGACTTGACCCAAGTCACACTGCTGGGAATAGACAGTACCAAGATTTAATGTTAGGCCCGCATCCAGAGCCCATTAAAAAACTCTTTAAATGAAAATTAATTTTTTAAGCTACAGAGAAGTATAAAGAAGAAAAAGACCAATTCCAAATTTCTAATCATCCTATTGCTAGTTAACCTGTAAGGACATATAATTTCAAGAAAAGAAGAAAATGAAAAGTTTTTCTCCCCAAAGGTAGCCACTGTTAACTTTGCTGCCATTCCTTTTGGAAACTGCTGCATAGAGATAGCAGCATATATAACACACCTACATAATGCCTTTCTAAAACTTCATTAAAAATTCACTCAAAGGGAAATGACTTTATGTTCTTTCTTCACTCTTCTCTCAGAACATGTTTGTATCCTTAGGCCTCCGCCCGCTCTCATGCCTGCCTTCTTGGGGCTCACCTTGGCTCCCACCCCAGGCAAGGTGCAGAGGGCCTTGTGGGCCTCCTCGTAGGGGACCTCTCGCAGTTGCTGCAGCCAGGCTAGCCCACCCCATTCTTCCAGGATGGCTCGGGCGCTGGCACTCACGTATCGGCCACGGTAGCCCAGGCCCAACTTCCTGAGGAGAGCCTCCACCTCTGGCCCTATTGAGAGAGGGATGGAGAGTAGGGCTCAGGCAGTGTGTGAGCCCCTACCCCACAGGCATGCTTGCCCTAAGTGCCACAGCCCTCTAGGGGACTGGGGGCACTTGTATGACAAAGCAAAGGGCTAAGGAAGGCCTGGCTTGGTGGGGGGGGGGCTCTCACTATGTACCCCAGGCTGGCTGGCCTTGAACTCATGGTTCCTGCCTCATCCTCCTGAGTGCTGGGATCTCAGGTGTGCACCATCACACCTGGCAAGTTCTTTAACTTTTCTCAAGATTGCTCATACCCATAACCTTAAAAAAATAATAACAACAACATCTTCTATTATCAAGTGCTGGCAAAGCACTTAGGCACATTATCCTGTTTTTTCTCAAGGACCTGGATGACAGCACTGCTGCTTTCCCATTTACAGAGAAAATGAGACCTTAGAAGAGGTGAGTTAATCAAGAAAGGGTAGGACCGGGGATTTAGCTCAGTGGTTCTGCTGCCTGCCTCGCAAGTGCAAGGTCTCGAGTTTGATCCCTGGTACCAAAAAAAAAAAAAGGGTACAGTGGAGATGGGAGTCTTACGCTGGGACCCCAATGCCTATAATTTATTACACTCCACTGTTCTATCCCCCCCAACTTCCTTCCCGATGAAAACTGTTAGCTGAGTGTAGTGGCACACACCTGTGATACAAGCACTCTGAGAGCCTGAGGCAGGAAGATTGCAAGTTTGAGCCCATCCTGGGCAACTAATGAGATCCTGTCTCAAAAAATTCAAGAGGGCTGGGATTTAGCTTAGTGGTGCCGCCACCTGCCTCAAAAGCACAAGGTCCCGAGTTCGATTCCCTGTACCAAAAGAGGAAAAAGGGTTGGGGATGTAGCTCAGTGCAAAGGCCCCGGGTTCAATCCCCAGTATTGCCAAAACCCACCCCCAAAACAAAAAACCAAAACACTGTTATTCCCACTCTACAAACAAGGTTGCAGTGGTGAATGAATTCTGTGAGGTCTTATAACTACTAAGCCAAGAGCTAAAGACCAGGCTTCTAAACACCAAAAAATGTCTTTCTCTCTCTTTTTTTGAGACAAGGTCTCACTGTGTAGTCCAGGAGGGCTTTAGACTATGTAGCTCATACTGGCCTCCAACTCTGTGACCCTCTTGCCTTGGCCTCTTGGGCTGGGATTATAGACATACACCACCACACTCAGCCCAAAAATGTCTTTTTTTTTTGAGGTGGGTTATCTCCTTGCTGTGCAGTCCCCCAAGCACTTTGCTCTGCTTGGTTCTTATAGCTGCCAGCTAATTTTCTTGCCTCACGTGAAACAGTGTTGCTGTGCACAGCATGCATGTGTTTTGGGTGCAAAACTGATTCACTGTAGTGACAGAAGCTTGAATTTTTCACATACTTCCTGTGTGCCTAGGACTCTGCTTGGTGCAGGATGTGTCTCCCTTCATTCCACCTCATGACAACTCTGGCAAGTAGGTGCTGTTATTACCTCATTTTTCAGATATAGTCACAGAAGCATGGAGAGGCTAAATAATGTGCATGCATTTTTTTTTTTTTTTGGTACTGGGGATCGGGGATCGAACTCGGAACCTTGAGCTTTCCAGGCAGGCACTGGAACCACTGAGGTAAATCCCCAGCCCGAGGCTAAATAGTGTGAACCAGGGACAGAGCTGGAATGTAGTCTGTCTCTGGAGCACACGTGCCAACCCTCAAACTACTGAACAGTGTACAGATATTTCTCTGATGAGGCATTGGAGCTCTGGCAAAAAGCACAGTATAGGGCTGGGAATTTAGCTCAGTGGTTCTGCCGCTTGCCTCTCAAATGCAAGGACCCGAGTTTGATCCTCAGTACCAAAAAAAAGCACAGTATAGTTAGGAACTGACACTTGAGACACACGGGCGAGGTGTGATGGGCAGATCAGACCAGGCAGGGTGGTTCTGGATGGGGCAGTGTTGGGGAAGGTGTGAGATGGTAACCAGGCAAAATAACAGAGCTTGGGAGAAGGGCTCTACCTACTCACCAGCCAGGGCTTGCAGGCTGGGAAAGCCATGGTAGGTGACACCATCAAGCTGGACAAGCTGAGGGCCAAGGGCCTGGCAGAGCCGCTCCACCATGCCGGTGATTCGGGCGATGTTGTTGTTGGAGGAACAGATGAAGGAGAAAAGGCATTCGATGGGGTCCTGGCGCAGTAGTCGCACCCCTGGACACCAGAGGGAGATCCCAGGAAAATGAGGGACAGCACTGCTACAGAAAGCAATGCCAGACCACTCATTCCTCGTTCACCTTATGAGGTCTGGATTACTATCTCATTTCACTGATAAAGTCACAATGTAAGTACCACTAGGGCAGAGGTTTCTGTCCATTTTGTCCCCTGCTGTATCACCAGTCACATACTGGAAGCTCTTATATCTTTACAAAATGAATAAAATCACCTGCCCCAGGCCACACCACCAAGATTAGGCTCCATCACCTCATAATGGATGAGGTAATATAACAACAACAATGTGCCAGGCACTATTCTCAGCTCCTTTATTCCTCATAAAATCCTATGAAGTGGACAGAAGACTCATGTTACAGAGTCACAAATAACCAATGCACAAGCACCCCAACCTCTGCCCGGGCCTTATCCTCACCTTGGAATTTCCCAGCCACCTTCTGGAAGTGGGAGTCCACTGCACCCCAGTGGCTGTACAGCTGGACCAGGCTGACATCCAGCTGGAAGTACTTGCGCACGGCCACCAGCTCCTCCAGCGTGGGCCTACCTAGCCAGCCCTTGTCCCCGCGGTACACAGTACAGTGCAGCTGCTCCTCCGTCTGGGTCAGTGTCCACACCTGGCCTGCCAGCACGCCGGTCCAGTGTGCAGGGCTCTGCTCCCTCCACCTGTGTCCAGGTTTAGATGGCCTTTGTACTGCTACCTTTCCTTCACTGTTTGGGTCCCTCTTGTCCCTCAGATGCCTCCTTCACAAAGCTCACTTACTAATTACCAAGTAACGGTGATACCCTTTGCACCGATTTTGGAGCCTGGTCCTCACAACGCTGCAGACTTACTACCTTCACTTGATAAAGCAGAGCTTATTTCCTTTACTGAATCCTGAGGTACACTCTCACTTGTCACCCCCACCATTCCTTTGTACCCTGGCCAGCAGCACAGAGCAGGGGAGGGACCTCCCGGGCACAGCCACTCACCGGAAGGACTGTCCAGAAGCTAAAACCAGGTCCAGGCTCAGCTCCGCGCGTGGACACGGGATAGAGGCCCAGAGGCCTGGGCTGCAGGCCAGAGTCCGGTGCCTCATGCTACAGGTGGAAAGGAGCTCGGGTTGCGACGCCAGGCCCCGCCCATCACAACCCCGCCCACGCAAGATCCCCATGCCCAAGACCCCGCCCACACAATGACCACGCCCCAGACCTTGCCCACCCGGCCCTGGCCTCTTCTGTCGCAGGGCCCTCCCACCCGCCCCAGAGGGTGGCCCCGCCCCACAGGCCCCAAGCCCTCGCCCCTCCCACTAGTCCCCTCGGGTTTTCCTGCGGTGCAGGCCCCTCCTCCTTCGGACGCATCCTGCCCGCCCCAGCGCCTCCCCGAGCTCACCGTGGCTCCTGGGCTGCCGAGACACTAGCTCGCCTGGTGTTCTCCTGGCTTGTCATACCGGAAGTAGAGCCGAAGCGCCGTCATTTGATCCAGGGGCAGCCAGTCCGAGGAGGAGGCGCCAATGAGGAGTGGGCCTGGCGCGGGTGGGCGGACCTTCCCGATCGCTCAGCAGTTGGCGCGCTCTGGTCGCTCCTTCTCAGGCCCTCGTCCTGCTAGACCTCCGCAGAACCCTTAGAGCCCACAGGGTGCCCCACCTGGAGCCACACCCTCACCCAGCGCGTCCAGAGTCAGACACGCGCCCTCCTCAGGCTGCCTCCGGTGAAGTCGGCAGGCTCGGCTACTCAGCGCCCTGGGTTCCCACAGGTGTCTCCGCAGGATTCACCCTCGAGCGCTCGCCTGCGGCTGTCCTTGCCCTTTTCCAGACTTTACATATCTCCTGACACCTAGTGTCCCCAGGTCGGCCGAAGGCTTCTCCGAGGCGGGCGGAAGGTTCCTTCTGGACGACCTGGCGACCCACACAGCCGGGCAGCCACTGCGTCCGAGTGCGCATGTGCTGCCCGAGGCAGCTGGCCTACCTCCTGGGCCAGAAGAGATGTAGTTTCTGGCTTGGTGGAAGGGAACATATGAAAAACTAAGGACCAAAGAGACATAAACTTGGAACATGACTCGGACATCTTTCACCTAGCATGGTGATTTGGGGTCATTGGTACCTAAGCTATTAAGACTGCAAGTTCTTAAAAAGGCAAGATCTGCTTTATCTTCATCTTCTATCCACAAGGCGAACCTGAGAGCAAGGTGTGCTGAGCATCAATATTACACTAGTAAAAGTCGTTGTCTCAGTTTTACTCTGTGGCTGCAAGGCCTTGGGCGACCATGTCTACCTGTGACTGTTCCATGTACGGCTATGCCAATCCAGAGGTACCTAGCATGTGGAAGGCATTCCTTCAACAAATATTGGTTGGACTGGAAATGATGACAAAGCTGGGGGTGAAATGAAAGCAATGTCTTCCCAGTGAAGCAGAGAGGAAGGGCTCAGCTATAGTGACTGAAGCACTTGAGCCAGCCTCCTAGGAAAGAACTCAAAGCCACTGAAATCCAGAGCAATCTGTAGTGGACTCATCTAGCAGTTGGCCAGCTTTGCAGACAAATAGATCTGAGCTCAAATCCTAGCACTTGGACTTCCTACTAGTTACTTAATTTTTCGAAACCTCAGTATCTTTTGTGAAGATAATCAGCCTATTAACACACTCCACAGGTACTACAGGGATCATACAAAACCATCTATCTAAAGGTACTAGCATGGGACCTGCCACTCTGTAAATGCGTAGGAAATAGGAGCTCTCATTTTCTCATCTTTGCTGTTTTTTGTTTGTGGATTGAAGCCAGGTACATCACATTGAACTGCATCCCCAGCCAAGGTCTGAATTGCCCAGGCTGAGCTCCAACTTGAATCCTCCTGCTGCAACTTTCCAGAGTGCTGGCATCACAGGCATGTGCCACCACGCCCTGCTGTTGTGTTTTATAACTAGCATGCAGCAGTCAGCAACTACTTGGGCCCAATTACAGACCATCCCTAGGTACAGACCTGTCTGAATCTCTTTGCCCTGGTAAAGGCAAGAATAACTCTAAGTAGACTGTTTTATTTTCTAAGAATCAATATATTTTCTTCCTTTGAAATAAATACAAACCAGTTTGAAAGGTAGGGGGAATCTACGCGAGAGAAGGAAAGTGGGGACAGGCCCCAATCTTTTTTTTCAGTACCAAACGACTCTGGCGCGACCCGGAAACGCAATTACAAATGAGAATAATTTAAATTCTCTGATAATTACATTATTTACAGTAGCAGGGGAGGGGGTCACCTAGTGCCCCATTTCCAGGCTGGACAGACATCAGTCCCACTGCTAGGCTGGGCGGATGCCTGCTCCCCTCGCCACCAGCAGGGGCCTCAGGCCTCTAGGCAGTTATGGAGTCTCCTGGCATGAGCAGGCAACAGTGGCGGGATGGTCTGTATTATGCAGTGTCCTAACAGTGGCCCACCACCCTGCCTGATCATGCCATGAGGCTTCTGGTGCTCTTTTTGACCTACAGGACCTCCCGTCTCCTTGCACTGAGTTGCCATGGGTCCTTGGAGTGTTCTGTACAGTCCAGCTGCACTCAGGGCAGGAGGGACCTCCCCTACCCAGCTTCCCCTGAGACTGGCCCCAAGACCAGGAATGAGTCAGTGCAGAGTGTGGTGCCACGCCAGGACAGTGAGCACAGGAAGGAGAGGGCACAGGGCTCTGAAGGCTGGGGTTTGCTGGGCAGGATCAGTCACTGTCGCTGGTCTCACTGCTCTGCTCACCCTGCACCTTGCTGCGGTGCTGCAGTGCCCTGTGGTAGGCAATCTGTACTGATTTGCGGATGTTGGACTTTCGGCCCTCCAGCATCTTCTCTTTGTCAAGGTCCTGGTTCACACCCAAAGGGACCAGCTTAGTCCTGGGCAGCCACTGCCTAGAGGACAAAGTAAAGATCAATCATCTCAGGAGAATACGCACCATCCTTCCTCACTCCATTCATTCAAAAATACCTCCTGAGCTGGTGTGGTGGCACATACCTATAATCCCAGCACTCAAGAGGGTGAGGCAGGAGGATCACTGAGAGGTTAAGGATACCTTGGGCTACAGAGTGAGTTTAAGGCCAGTCTGAACTATATAGCAAAACCCTACTCTTTTTTTTTTGGTACTAGGGATTGAACTCAGGACCTTCCGCTTCCAAGGCAGGTGGCGGAACCAATGAGCTAAATCCCCAGCCCTACTGATGGTCTTTTGGTTTCCAGCTACAGCTGTTTGTCAGCTACTACCCACTCAGTATGTCAGACTTAGGGTCAAAATAACCCTTGTGTGGGCTGGGGATTTAGCTCAGTGGTTTCACTGCCTGCTGCATATGCACAAGGACCAGAGTTTAATGCCTGGTACCAAAAAAAAAAAAAAAAATAACCCTTGTGTGAAAGCTTTGCTTAAAGTCCTTCCCCTGCTGATCTGTGATAACCTCATCTGTCTACTGGAGTTTCCTGGCAGTCCCCCATACCACACAGGGTTGTATCTGTGGCTGTGAGTCATACCAAGGGTTCCCCTCTTTCCTTACCAGGTTCGTTTGTTGTCAAAGAAGAGAACGAGGTAGAGATGCTCTCGGGCTTCCTGGGTCATTTGCTCCCCGAGTTTCAGCACCTCCAGTGGGGGCACAGGGATGGGAACGCCATGGTGAAACATACCTTCTCGGGGCATCTTTGGATCAATGATCTGAGGGTGCAATATGAATCCAATTTGGTTCAGTTCACTCTTCCAATGTGTACCCACCCAAGAGTTTGGGGACTACATCCAAGTGGGGAAAGCTAAGCTAGCATGCTAGCTAGGGTTCCACTGCTGGCCCCTGGTTTCTTCCTGTGCTGTATTATAGCTGAGCTGAAGGGGAAGGGCAGGACAGAGACTTGACAGTGGCCTGTGAGGGGTACAATGAGGCTGCACCTGCCTGGAGTCTGTCTCCTGAGGAAGCCTGTGTATCACAGCTCAGCAGGGAGCAGGGAGTCTGCTGTGGGTCTGAGTCTGGGGTTGGGAAGGAAAAGCAGGGGAGCAGAGGCAGAAGCCTACCAGAGCTGGGTATGACGGGTACCCTCGGCATTTGGCCCACACGAGGTCCAGAGCATCCAAGGGAGAGTCCTCGTCCTCTGACAGCCAGCCAGCTCCTCGGCCCAGACTCTTCCTCACCACTTCACAGGAGAGAGACAAAGTGGGTGGGTCAGCAGCTGGGGGGCTGGCAAGGCCCTGACACTGGGTCTGCAGCATCCCTGGCTTTCGGTGAGGGTACTTACTGCTGTGGCCCACGCCGCGGCCAGTGCCCACGGAGTAGGCCTCATTCTCAGTGCCTGAGGTATCTTCACTGCTGTCCTCTGGGAAGGTGCTCCGCGAGAAGGAGGGCTTACCCCGGCCTTGTTTTGAGGGTGTTGTGCTGGGGGCAAAAGGGGAGATCTTGGTTCAAAGGGAGGGAAGAAATGGGAAATGGCATGGTAGGTATTCCCTTCTTTAGGCCCAAGGTCTAGGCTTTTGCAAAGCAGAGAGGATAAGAAGAATTTTAGACTCACACTTGCAGGGGCTAGGCTGGAGATCTGACTAAGATGGGCAAGACTGAGGGGTGAGGGCCCTGTATAAAGACCAGACTTGCTACAGCCTCTGATGTTAAAGAGAATACAGAGACTGGGAATTTTATGTGGCCTATCTGGATACTTATTTTTTTTGTGGTTTTTGTTGTTGTTGTTTTTTCTTTTTTGGTACTGGGTATTAAACTCAGGACCTTGTGCTTGCCAGGCAGGAGTGGCACCACTAAGCTACACCCCTGGCCCCTGGATTCCTTTTTCAGTACCGGGAATCGAACTTAGAACCTTGTGCTTGGAAGGTAGGCACAGTACCACTGAGCTAAATCCTTGGCCCTGGATTCCTATTTTTAAATTCACCATTCTGGCCACAGTATGTTGGGAGGTCAAATCCAGGGTACAAGGTACCAAAGCATACTGTTCTAAATCCTGGATGGTTCTGTCATGGCCGCACTGATCTAAGCTATTAATTTTGCAATAGGCTGCAATGGTAGCCACCTGACTTCCAAGAGCCAAGCCAGAAGGGCCTGAAGGCATCCCTGAAAGCAAGGCTTCAATCTAGAGGGCTGGTACCTGGTGCGGTCTGAGGCAGCACTGCTGCTGCTGCTGCTGCTGGACTCGGAGTCGGAGCTGCTCCGGGGAAGGCTACAGTCATTTCGGTATACCAGGAAACTCTTCTTCACTGGCTGGTTTCCACTGCTGAAGCCATTGGCTGGTAAGTCTTGGTAGGGGGGAGGGGAGGAGGGAAGGAACCGGTCAGGAAGATGGAGATCAGATCTAGCATGGGGCCAAGAGGGATTTAGAGCTTGAGTTCTGCTTCTGGGCTGCAAAATTCCTACACATTTGGCCAGCAGAGCTAGCTCTGGGCAGTGACTACCACAGCAGGCCACAGCCCCACCCTGCCCCTTGCTTCTCTGGCAGTTACTGGCCTCAGGACACAAACGACTTAAGGGCAGGAGGTCCCTGAGAAGATGAGAAGAGAAGAGGTAAAGTGAGACAATGGAGGAGGCCCTGACGGGACTCTGGCTGGTCCCAGTGTCTCTGGACCTCCATCTTCCCGACCACACAATGAGATGATGGGGATGAAAGGGTTCCTAAGGGCCCTTCTAGCTCTACCTTTCATGGGAAAAGGGAGGGACAGCAGGGCATGCCGGGAAGCATGGCAGTGCTGCGCTTTGTCTGGGGACTGGGTGATGATGGTAAGGCTCACCCATTGGGGGGTCTTCTGTGGACTTATCACTGTCGCTTTCTGAGCTCGAACTGGGCTGGGGGCTCCTACCCCGCTTGCGCTGACGCAGGGAGCCCATGATGGGGAGCTGGGGGGGCCCCACAGGACTGCCTCCGTGGCTGGGGGTCATCTGGCTCTCCCGGTTTTTGGGGGGCCGGCCCGGCCTCTTGGGCGGTCCAGCTGTCTTCGGGTTCTTTTTGGAGAACAGAACTGAGGTTCTCCTGCCCACCTCATGTGCGGGGGTTGAGGACATGTTGGGACCCAGGCCTGGAGCAGAGAAAGAGAGAAGGAGAGTTGGTGAGGGGCCTGAAGTGAGAAGAATAGATGTCCAGGGTCAGTTACTCCAGCTAGAAGTGGGGAGAGGATGTGGGGCCATGAGATTTGGAACACTGACTCACACAAGTACCAGACAGGCAGCTAAGAGGCCAGCCCCCAAGTGCGACACAAGAGAGAGACTGCAGCTAGCTGTGCAGAGACCTCTGCCTGGGAACAGCAGGGGCTAAGTATGTGCTGCTGAGCCCAAGTGTGACTTGCTTTTGGGTCCACCTGCTATGGGGCTCAGACCTTTACTTGTCTCCTGGCTGCTGCTCTCCTCCGCGGCACTGTCAGTCTGCCCATCCTTGTCACAGGCTGCTGGGTGGGGTGTCAGACTGCCCCTGCTGGAGGGGCCGTGCCGCTCAGGCCCATCCCGTCCAGTCTCCCGCTGGTGGGCAAGCTTCCGCCGCAATGCTGTCATCTCTTTCTTGATCATTTTCACACGCCGTGAACGGCCCACACTCTGCTTGCTGGCATTGACTTCATCCAGCCGTTCCAGCAACAGCTTCAGCTGTTCCTCCACTGGCAAGTGCTTCTGGTTCTCCAGAAGGAGCAGCCGCTCTTCCTCTACTGCCAGGGGGAGGGTTGAGGGGAACAGGTCAGACTCAGGGCAGCCCACTGGGACCCTGGAACCTCGGCAGGCAGCAAGAAGTCCCCTCTTCCCACCCTGGCTTCTCCAGGAAACTGCTGTACAAGAGCAGCACCAGGATGCGGAATGCAGGGCGTGCTATTCACTAGCCCAGGCTGGCTTCCTGGGCAGCAGCCCTGGGGACAGCTTGCCATTGCTCAGTCTAGCTTGCTTTCTGCCTACACTGCCTGTGCTTAGGAGGGGACTTCCGGAAGCTCCTGGGATTGGGCTTTGAGCGTGTAGGACTTATCACCCACCAGCTTCAGTGTGGTGTGGGGCCTCATCTCCAGGCAAGTTGTGGGGGATATGCATGCCCGTCTCAAAGTCAATGCCCATTTTTTCTGCCTGGCGCCGGGCCTGACGGAGCACAGCACCACCCTGCTCACGGAGCCGTACTGCTGCCCTGTAGAAGATGGTGTCCTTGGCATTATACTTGAGGCAGTTGCTGATGATGAGGTTGAAGTCCTCCTCAAAATCATCAAAGTTCAAGTAGCGGTAAGCCTCCAAGTTCTGCTTCATGGTGAAAAAGTCCATGGGCTTTTTGATGTGGTCCAGGTAGTCAGGTACCTGGGAGAGCAGGGTAGGGATGTCTAAGTGGAGCCATGTTCTCATTCCCCAAATCCTGTTGCTAATAAACACCCCCTGAGATGCACCCAGCAACCTCCTCCCACCAGTCAGAGGCAGGCATGTAGCACAAGGAAAAGGAAAGTTGGATCTAATCTGACTTAACAGTCAAGCTGTGTGACCTTGGCAAGTCACTGAACCTCTCTGGGCCTACTTTTGCTCTCCTGGAAAACGACTACGGAAATACAGGCAAATCTACCTTGTAAAGTCATGGGAGGATTCAGTGAGACAATGTCTAGAAGAATCCTCTGGGAAACCACCACCTTTTAAGAAGGCAGCTGTCTTAGGTCTCTCTCTTTTTTTTTTTTTTTGGTACCGAGGATCAAACTCAGGAGCTTGTGCTTGCGAGGCAGGCGCAGTGCCACTGAGCTAAATTCCCAGGCCCTTAGGCCTCTCATTTTGTACTCTTTAGAGATAAAGAGTCTGCCAGTCAGGACCTAGGGCTTCTTTAGGTGCTGAGACTTCTAAAGTCTCCATTCTAGGGTTCAGCACACCCAAAGTGTCTTCCTTCCCTGGGTTATTCACTGGGCAGACTCAGTCCCTGCCTCTGGGGAGGAGTGGAGATTGCCTCCCCTTCTGGGCCCTTGGTGTATGACATGGACAACACAGTCTGGGGGACATGTGTCTTTAGTCTGTCCTCCTTAGAGCCATCAGCCTCTCTGCACGGGGTCCCCAGACAGTCCCTGGCCCAGACCTGCAGCAGGGGTCCAACTGGGAGAAGAACAGAAAGAAGGAGTGAGGGGAAGGGATTCTTACTTCGTCCAATTCGGTTACCTCAGACAGAGGGACCGGCTCGCTGAAGATGTTGCCCGTGTCCTTCTCTTGGAGCTGCTCCAAGGTTTTGCGAAGGAGGATGAGGAAAGGTGTCAGCTGCATCTCCATGGCTATCTGCTGGACCTTGATCTGACATGGAAAGGGCTGATCAGCTGGCCCCGGCCAGTCCCCTGGCACACAGGTCCAGGAGACAGTCCCAGCCAGCCTGGGAGCTAGTCATCCTTCCTGCTCTCACAGCCGGGGGTGCCTACTCAGGCCCATCTTCTCCAAGGCCCCAGCCAGGAAAGGCTTCCCCATCCTTGAGCTCCAAGCATGAGCTACTGGGTTGCTAAGTCAGGGTTCTGTTTATGTCTCCTGTGACACTGGGCCTCCCTGGGCCAAGTGTACACTGAGTGCAGGAAGACAGGACTCCAGCATGGGGCCTGTGGATTCCTGGCTAGGGCGTGCCTACTGTTCCTTCTCCTCTGAGGAATAAGCCTGGCTTATTCCAGGAGGACTCACCGTCTCCCTTTTGAGCTTCTCCCGCTTGCGGATCAGTTCTACCAACAGCCGAGCTCGCTCCAGGTCATGTCGGAGCCGCTGCCATGACTTGAGCTGTTCTTTAAGGGCCCAGTTCTTATCCTCTGAATCTCTCTGTAGAGGCAAAGGAGGATCAGGAGGTGATGAGAGAGCCGAGGATAAAACCAACAGTGAGGGGGGAGCCCAAGAACCCTGGGTGAAAGGCAGCTGAAGCCAAAGTGCTGGGAGCGATGTGCTGTAGATCACTATTGCCAGGCCTAACTTGCCTCCTCCTGAGGATGAGGCAGGGCCCCACAGGAGAAGAGGTGACAAGAGGGTTTGGGGGAGCAAGGCCTGGCCGAGAAGAGGACTGTCTTCCTCCCAACCCATTCACCAGAGAAACATCAAACATGATGTCCTGTAGACCTTAGCTCCAGGTACAGACCAGCCCCTTTTACCTTCCCCTGCACTTCCCCTAACTCTACCACTATAAATAAACATGCAGCCATTTGCTTGGTGGTTTTTTCCTCTCATCAGGAGTTAAGAGCCCCATCTGGCCCCACCTATACTTTATCATATCTCTTTGTCTGTCTTTCTTAATCTCTGTCGTTTTTTGTTGCTGTTGTTCTCACTCTGTGAACCCTTCAGCCATGCAAGTTGTGGCACCAAAAGAGGGTAATAATCATTTATTGGTAGCCCCTCAATTTGTATGTCCCTAGGGCCTGGCACAAAGTAAATAAATGCGCATTGTGTTTGTGAAATGAATAAACGAACTCAGGAATGGTGCCTTTCTGTTGCATTGATAATTCATAGAGATTTCCTCCTGGGCCTGTGGGAGGGCCAGCGTAAAGGAGGAAACAGTCTGAGCTCTCTGACAGAGAAACTAGTTCCCACAGCCCACAGGGTATTGGACACGGTACCCCAACTTGGTCACAGTTCCTCTGGGACTGGAGGTGTGTCTGTAGGCGACGCAGCAATGGGACCCCATTCCGTGACTGCCTCTTCAGTGTCCAGTAGCTGTGCAACCTCTGCATGAACTGGCTCTTCCGCTGGATGGTCAGGCGGTTGGTGATTTTACTGAGCCTAGGGCCAGGGCACAAAGAGAATACTTGGTGGGTCCCAATTCTCTTAAGAAAAGGGGCTCTGGCCAGTAGAGTTCCTGACTGGGGGTGAACAGAGATCACGCTCCTGTGGAAAAGGCCTGAGACACAGGGTCAAGACAAAGAACAATGACTGGCGCCATCAGTGGCACTGTAGCAGACAGGCACCAAGCCCAAACATCAAGCAACTCCACCAGTGGTCAGGCAGTTCGACTTCCAAGACTGCAGGAGTCAGGGTAGCCCAGAGGACTGTCCAGCCCTGAGATTCCCTCTCAGAGTGTTGGAAGGTTTCAAGATAAAGCACGTATCACTTCTTGGCTACCTGGCTATGATTAAACGAAGACAAATTACAACTGCACAACAGAAATCTATGGTGGATCAACTAAATAACAGAAGAGTTAAAGATAACTGCAGGTCGCAGCCCAGGAGCAGCAGCTCTCACTCTGTGACTTTTCTGTCGTTGCAGCTGGTGCTAGAGAGGAACCTGGGGCCCCTCACGCATGCTAAGAGCACATTCTACCACTGCGCTCTCCCCCAGCCTCATGGGCCTTCCTTTCCCTACTTTTCTTTCTTTCTTCACGGTCAGACTGTTTTTTTCCATTGTGGTTGTTCCTCCTCTTCCTAATTAAACAAACCCTACTATCAATGTAAGGGTGGTTTCAAACACCTGTCAGATCTGCCAGGTAAAGGTTTATTGGCTCCTAATGTATTAAGAGTCAGGTGACTTGTTAATGATAAAATCTTTTAGAATTTATCTTACTTCTATGCAGTTCCTCACTGCATAAGGTAAGCTAGCCCTGCCACTCCACTCAGGGGCTGTCAATTCCTCCCCAGCAGAGCTGAGTAGCCCCCACCTGCTCCCTACTCACCTGTGTGGCGGGATGCAGGGCACCGACACTACAGGTGCTGCTGCCCGCTTCTCTGCCAAGATCTTCCGTGCTTTCTTCATCTTGATACGGGACTTGGCCTTGGCCTTCTTGACCTTCTCTGAACTCCAGCCCTTACCCTCTTCCTCCTCCTCCTCCTCCTCCTCTTCACCCTCACTGTGGGACAG